TGGGGGCTCTCTGGTGCAAGGGCACCTCCAGCCCGGGCTGCGACTGCTGGCAGTGGCTGGGCTGTGGGGCAGCACCCAGGGCAGCACCACGTGCTCTCACTTTTTCCCACACAGCGGCATTTGGTCACTGCCTTTGGTGAGGAATCAGAAAACCACGTTTGTGCAGGCAGCAGAGACGGCAGGGAGGGCTTGGGGGCTCTGGGGGAAGGAGCCACCCCCCCCAGCCCAGCTGTGACTGCAAGTTTCAGTCCCTCTCTGGGGCACAGGGTCTGGCAGGTGCTCACCCTTGGGTTCCATTGTTCCTTTAGAGGTGTAGGAACACAGCAGTGCCTCCACGCTGTCCTGAGCTTGGTCTGGGGGGTTCAGCCTTTCTCTGGCTGGTGTGGCTGGAGTTGGGGAAGGTCCCCAGAGCACTGCTGGACCATGGGGCTTTCCCATGGCGCGAGGCTTGCTCCGCTCCATCCAGCACTGTGCGAGCTCCCAGCTATGCGGAGCAGCCTCCCTTTGCAAAACGCTTATCTCACCCTCAATAACATCCACATGCTGTCTCTGGGAGCTGCCTCTCCCCTCCAGATGTGCAGAGCGTGTCTGTGCATCTGTCCCAAGATCTCGCACCGCAGGCAGCAGCTCCACTTCCCTGCCTGCCCCCCACTCCTCGCCCTAGCATGTAGCCTGGGGTAAGCTCCTGTGTGCTCACCTCCGGGAGTGGCTCCCTCTCTGCTGCGGGTGCGGTGCACGGGCTTGTGCCGTTACTCAGCCTTGCTTTATTTTTAGGGATGTCTTGAAAACAGATGTCCCTTCCCAGCCAGGGGCCGGAGCCAGGTTCCTGAGGCCTGGGTAGAGGCAGCTGGGTTTTTGGCAGGGCTGTTAGCTGGGCTCCTCTGAAACTTCGGGTGCTCTGCGCGGCCGTAGGTACCGTAATCTGATCAGCCCCCTTCTGGGGGCAGGGTGTTTGAGGGTACCCACCGCTGCATCCCCATCCCTGCGTCCCCCCTGGGGCAGCACTGCTTGGAAGGAGCGGAGTCCGACATTCCTCTGTCAGACTGGGCTTGGGGTGGTGGTTTTTTGGAAGTGCTAGGGTTTAATTTCTGTGTTGCCTTGCTTGAAAAGCTGTGTGCTTCTGGGATGAGTCAGAGCAGGGAGGAGCCCAGCAGCGATGGTGCTGGCAGTGGGCAGGCAGAGCCGGTGATAAAGGTGCGATAAGGCCATGAGAGCCCTGCTCTCATGCCAGGGCTGCAGGGAGTGGGCAGCTTCCAAGCCCGCTGCCTGACCTCCAGCTGCTCCGCTGTCAAGGAAGCGGGGAGGTTATTTTGGGAACCATGGCACTGGGAAAATCTGCTATGTCAATAGAGTGTGAGCTAAAGCACTTGTGGGTGGTGTTTTCAAAATGTCCCTTCTCCGTGCCCAAATTCCTGGGCTTTGCCCCAGCAGCAGGCAGGGAGCCTGGCCCGGGGGTGGCCCCAGCCTCGGTGCTCGCTCCCCGGCTGGGGAGGGGTCCGTGGCCATTGGGCATGTCCCACGGCAGCTGGGCCCCCCATGCAATCTGACATATCGGCGGCGGTTGCCTCCGGCTGAGGTCCCACTCCCAACCCTCTTCCCACGATCCCTGTCACCTTCCTCAGGGTCTGGCTGGAACATCCCCTCTCTGTCCCTGCAGTTTGTTGTTTATCCTGGTCTGATCTCCACTTTGAACAGGGTCCACGTCCCCTGCGCTGCCCTGCGCCTCCCGCTCCTCACAGCACAGCATGCTGTGGCATGGGGATGGAGGCAGCCTTCCTCCCCCCTCTCTGGCGGCAGCCCCGTGCTGTTCCCATCTCCAGCAGCTCGTTAGCACCGGCTGGGACCTGAGCAGGGGCTGCTCCGGCCGGCGCGCGCCTCCCACTCCTCACAGCACAGCATGCTGTGGCATGGGGATGGAGGCAGCCTTCCTCCCCCCTCTCTGGCGGCAGCCCCGTGCTGTTCCCATCTCCAGCAGCTCGTTAGCACCGGCTGGGACCTGAGCAGGGGCTGCTCCGGCCGGCGGAAACATGGGTGGGCTGAGATGGGATTAGACATGGTCAGGGAAATTCCAGCTGCCCTGTGGTTAGCACGGGGCTGCTCTGGCTCCGGGAAACCTGATGGGGCCACACATGCTGGCTCTCCCTAGCTGCTTCCTCCTGAATATCTGTTCCTGGCGGCTGCTGGACCAGGGCTGCCTAGGAGAGGTGGGTGAGGGGGGGGCAGTGGGTGGTGGGGACCAAGGGCACCCCCATGCACCCATGTGGGCTGGAGGGGGCAGGGGAGGGGTGGCAGCAGGCGCCCCTGAACAAGTGGATGGGACGGGTTTGTGCCCTGCTTCCCAAACACCCCTGCGTGCAGGGCTCCATCATCCGTGCACCAGGGCTGCTGAGGATGAAGAGCAGCATATGGGCTGCAGCCCAGCCACAGCAGCCCCTGGGAGATGGCAGCATGTGCTGCTTTGGGGCTGCAAGGCTGCCTGCAGTCGGCATCGAGGGGGTTTCCCAGCACCCGCAGGCATGGCAGTGCTGGTGGGAGATGCTCTGGCTTGCTGAGGGCGCTCTGGAGCAGCCTGGCCTCCAGCTGGCACCAGCAACGCTGCTGACCCCTGCTTGGTGCCCACTCCCTGGCTGCGCTGGGCAACGTGCCTGTGGGGCAGAGCCCTGGAGTGGGTGCTTGCAGATTCCTGGCCCGTTTGCATCTGCGGTTGGGGGGAGTGAACAAGAGCTGTGACCCCGGGCAGGGTTGGCGTGCTGTGGGGCTGCCTGCACTGCCAGCCCTGGGCTGGGGCATGGCCAGAGGTCCTGACACTTGCAGGGGCTGTAGCTGGGGAGGCAAGTGCTGTGCATTGCCAAGGCAATGCCATGGAGTAGCCCCGGTGTGAATGTGTGCCAGCAAAGGGCAGGATCGTGCCCAGGGGCCTGGCTTTGCCTCACCTGCCCCCACAGTCAGGGCACCCAGCCGTGTCCCACCGGGGACCAGGGGGGCTCCCGGGGACGAGCTGCTACCTGGGTGACGTGAGCAGCGTGTTCGTGGGGCTGGCTGCTTGTCTTCAAACGAGGGCACTGGGGTTCAGGAGAGGGAAACCCAAAAGTCCATCCTTGAGATGATTGCGGTGTTTGCCGAGGAAACAGGAGTTGGAAGCAGCTCTGCTCCAGCGCTTTCCCTAACCCTGACGCTGCCCCTGTGCTGATTCATTGATTTGGACGGGTTATATACTGGGAGGGGAAGCATGAACCACACTCAGCTCTCTTGCCAGCACGGAGCTGTGCTCACACGGCGCTCGCGGCTGCAGGACACTCGGGTAAGTCTCCTCTCCACTACTGCCCCTGTCAGCGGCCCCAGGCCCGGGGGACTCCCAGGGCAGCTCTGAGGGGTGGCAGTGCGGCGGCGGGGTGTGCATGTTCAGCATCTTTTGATTTAATGGAGATGTTTGTCTTGCAAGGGTTCTCCAACAAAGCGAGACCACTTAAGCATTGTGGGAGCTGAAATAGTTACATAGGCGATGTATCTTAAATAATAACCAACAGAGAAAATTAAGGGGGACAAAGTAACATTTAGGGGGGCTGAGGTTAGGAGCAGTGGGATGCTGAGGGGCTGAGTGGTAGGGTATATTCAGCCCCTTGGTCTGTAAGCTTTTTGTCCCTAGAAGAAAAGAGAAGATAAATTGTTTTCAGCTGCCTTTCCTGAAGGGCGCTCCAGCATGGATGCTCTCTGAGCTGCCTTACCAGGGAGTGACATGAGCAGGGCTTTTGATGTGCAGAGCGTTTGAGGAAGTTTATAAATGGCTTGCTATAAACAAAGCTGTTCTTGGATGCAGATTGTTTCCATATGGGAAACATAAACTGCGCTGGCTTGTGGAGGGTTCCTCCCTCCCTGTCGGAGAACGAGCGTCTTCCCTGGAGGGAGCCTGGGGCGGAGGGCAGGGGCTGTGTCCCCAGCACCCTGGGGTGCTGTGCCAGCCAGGGCACCGTGCCTGGACCCCTGCGCTGCTGGACTTGCCTGTCTGGCTGAGCTGTGCTCGGGGACGGGGGAGCCACAGGTTTTCTCCCTCCCTTGTGCCACTTGAAGCTGTTGGCGGGCGGCTGCTTCATGCCAGCCTGGCACAAGGCTGCTGCTTTAATCTACGGAGGGAGGAAGCTCCCAGGCCAGAGGAGGGAGGAGAGGGTGTCCATGGTGGCCGTGCTTATGGGGTGATGGAGGACCTTGCTGTAAAGCTCTTAGTCCCCCCAGGTTTCAGGGCTCCCCTGGGACCAGCCCGCAAACAGGTGCCCACACCAGACACCCTGCTCTCACGGCCAAAATTGGCCAGGGCTGAGACCTTCTGCTGGGGATGGGGTGCAGACAGCGCCATCCCCGTACCCAGCCTGGGCTGGGGAGCTGGCAGAGGGCCCGGCTGACCCAGGCTCCTGCAGGATTGGAGCTAAAGCATGCCTGGGCAGCGGGTGCTGGCGCTGCTCTTGGCTCCGCGACAGGAGCTCAGAGCCCTTGCTGCCGGGCAGAGCCAGGAGGGTGCTCGGCGGTGCTGGGGAGGCACCTTTCTTCCTGCCCCCACCCAGCATCCCTGGGACCCACTCGGCTGTGCGTGCCGCAGGCCGACTTCAGTGAAGGTCTCGGCTGTTCGGTGGTGCTGGGAGGCCAGCGCCGCTGGTAGCAGCTCGCCACGCTTGCTGCAAAACAGGAAACCACGCTTCTGGCTGCTGGAGGAGCTGAGCGAGGGGGACGCCATGGATGCCACTAATAGCTGTGGTATGGCAGCCAGGCGCCGCAGCCCCCAGCTCTGTCCTGCTTTGCGCTCCCGCCTGGGCTGTGCCCAACCCCGCCTGCTCCCAGCCTTCCTTGCCTGCCCTCCTCTGCCTTGCTGCGGTGCTGGGGGCAGGAGTGTGGCCACAGACTCAGTGGCCCTTTCAGGGAGAAAGCAGCACCCATCTCCGGCAGCGGCCCTGGGGGGCTGGGAAATCACAGGGGCTGAGCCCCCCTCCTTTGTTTTTGCTGCAGGCCTGATGGAGCAGGGAGGCTGGTGGCGGTGGCTGCTGCTGCTGGTGGGCATCCAGCTGGCTGGTGGCCAGTGCCCAGAGCAGTGCCAGTGTGTCCGCACCGCCCAGGTGGAGTGCTCCGGCGCTGGCATCACCACGGTCCCCAGCCCCATCCCCGCGAATGCCATGACCCTCCAGATCATCAACACGCATATTGCTGAGCTGGGCGACGCGTCCTTCGGCAACGCCTCCCTGCTGATCGGGCTGCGCATCGAGAAGAACAACCTGTCGCGCATCAGCCCCGGGGCCTTCCAGCACCTGCCCGACCTGCGCTACCTCAGCCTGGCCAGCAACAAGCTGCAGGAGCTCCCTGTGCAGGTCTTCGAGCCCCTGGACAAGCTGGAGTCGCTGCTTCTCTCCAGCAACCAGATCCTCCAGGTCGAGCCTTCCCACTTTGCCCACCTGAGCAACCTCAAGGAGCTACAGCTGCACGGGAACAACCTGCAGGAGCTGAAGGAGGGGGTGTTTGACGAGCTCACCAGCCTCACCAAGCTCAACCTGGCCAGGAACAACATCGACCGCCTGCCGCCCCGGGCCTTTGAGCGGCTGGCACGGCTGCAGGTGCTGCGGCTCTATGAGAACCGGCTCCGGCAGATCCCGGCAGGTGCCTTCGACGGGCTGCCGGAGCTGCAGGAGCTGGGGCTGCACCAGAACCAGCTGGAGACGTTGTCCCCAGAGCTCTTCATGCACAACGGGAACCTGCAGAAGCTCTACCTGTCCAACAACCTCCTCGCCGCCCTGCCGAGTGGCGTCTTCTTGCCTCTGCGCGCCCTTGCCAAGATCACCCTGCACGTCAACCGTCTGCGGGACATCTCCCCTGGTGCCTTTGGGCCCATGCCCGACCTCCGGGAGCTGTGGCTCTATGAGAACGAGCTTTCCACCCTCCCCACCGCTGTCTTCAGCAACCTCACCCAGCTGCAGCTCCTGGTCCTCAGCAAGAACCGGCTGCGCTCGGTGGCGCCAGGGGCTTTCCGGGGCTTGGGGGAGCTGCTGGAGCTGTCGCTGCACTCCAATGCCCTGCGCCGCCTGGATGCCCAGGCACTGGAGGGGCTGCCCAAGCTGCAAAACATCTCCCTGCACCACAACCAGCTGCAGGTGCTGCCACGGGGCCTCTTCGGGGCCACTCCAGGGCTGCGGCACCTGCAGCTGCACTCCAACGCCTTGGAGTA